GAGCGGGAGCGTTGTTTTTGCTGGGGGCGGCGCCGATGAGAGAACGACTAGCGCACCAGTCCAAGGTGGAACGGGAGGAAGTCTCGAGCGGGAGCGCTGGTTTTGTTAGGACGGCGGCTTTCGGCGGCGAGCAAGAACACCAGCCCTGAGCAAAAAAGGAGGAAGTCTCGAGCGGGAGCGCTGTTGTTGTTGGGGGGTCGGTTTTGGCGGTCCCCCAAAACGCTCGAGCTTGAGCCTCATTTCCAATGAAAATGTAGCCGGCGCCTCGGCGAGAGCGCCAGGGCGCCTATAAAGGGTCCAACAATAATGATTCTTTCGAGATTAACATTCAACAACAACAACAACAACAACAACAACAACAACAACAACAACAACAACAACAACAACAACAACCACAACAACAACAACAACAACAACAACACCACCAACAACAACAACAACAACAACAACAACAACAGCAGCAGCAGCAGCAGCAGCAACAACAACAACAACAATGGCAACAACGACAACGATAACAACAACAAGAACAACAACACAATGGCGACAACAACAGCGACAACAACAATAACAACAATAATAATAACAACAACAACAACAACAACAACAACAATATCAACAACAGCAACAACAACAATAATAATAACAACAACACCAACAATAACACCACCAACAACAACAAAAGAACAAGCCACAACCAAACATATAACAGATAGCAGCAGGAGACAAACAAAAACAGGTCGACGCCCACCAAAAAAAAGAGAGACTCCCACGGGACCCCCTTTGGCTCATGGCGGCCTTGGTCTGGGCGGGCGAGGGCCTCGCCCGCCGCGGGGTCGTCGTGATGCTCGACGTCGCCACCTCCACCTTCTGCGAATCCGCAGAGCTCGAGGAGGCCGAAGATGTCGAGGGCGCGTCGTCCACCTTCCTGGAGGTCGAAGATGTCGAGGGCGCGTCGTCCACCTTCCTGGAGGTCGAAGATGTCGAGGGCGCGTCGTCCTCCGCACGCCCGCACACCGCGCGCCCACACCCTGCCGGGCGACGGCCCTCCCCTCGCGGGGGAGGGAGGAAAGAGGACCTCGGCCCTCCCTCCCTCCCTCCCTCCCTCCTTGCCCTCGCTCCCTGACTCCATCCTCCATCCTCCATCCTCCATTCTCCATCCTCCCTCCTCCTCCTCCTCTTCCTCCTTCTCCTCCTCCTCCCCCTCGTCCTCCCCCTCCCCCACTTGCCAAGACCTCCGGAGCAGGCGTCGTACCAGCACTGCTCTCCGCAGGCGTCGGCTCGCCCGTGCCTCCAGCCACGCCTGCCAAGCCTCCCTCTGGGCATGCTCTCCGGCGCCGACGAGCGGAAGGCTGAGGCCGTCGCTGGTCGGGGCGGTCGTCAAACGAGGCGATCGCCCCACCGTCATCTGGAGTGGTAAGAACCCTTCGGCGGTCCAGCTCATTGCCCGCTGCACAAATACGAGAACGACGCCCATGCACCGCACCATGTCTGGACTCCGTTCAGGCCCCGCTCAAACGCGGTACGGTGCATAGTTTGTTCGGCTGTGGGGGCCAGAAAACTATGCACCGTACCTGACTACCTAACAGACCACCCCAACCTAACCCGAAGACCCCAGTTTCGGGTTGGGGGGGTCCGGGCTCCACGATTCTTTTTTCGATGTCCCCCGACCCCCCCCCCCAACTGGAAATCGAGGGCCTTCGGGTTGGGTTGGGGTGGTTTGGTGGGTGGTGAATACCATTCCTGGGCCGATGATCGGGGCGCCTCGAGAGGCGCCACCGCGGTACGGTGCACACACGTCGTCCGCGGAGCAGACGTGGGCCAGCATCCGCCCTGCTGCCGGCGTGCCCGGGGCGCGGGGCGCGAGCTTCGACGAGGGGGCCGCGGAGCGCCCCGACCTTTGGCGGCCCGGGAGTGCAGCTGGTGGGCCTCGGCGGGTGCGGCCACCATGGCGAACTCGCGGGCACCGAGGCCTCCCTCGGCGTCGGCCCGGATTCCGTCGGGGGAGGCGAAGACGTGGAACCGCCGCTCGGCCAGCGTCTTCTGGACCTCGATCGCCTTCGGGTTGCCTGGATGTACCTCCCGACATGCAGCAGCCCGCCGTGAGGTCCGTCGACCACGATGATCTCGTGTCGCTCCCCGCACATCTTTAAAGGGGCCCTGGGACACACAAATGAATGCACACAAATAACAGGATTCCCCACATTTCCCCATGTGTTCTGGGCGTTTGCCTCCCCGCCCCCACTTCCCATATCTTCCCCTATCCTCTGGGGAATCGACGATTCCTTGTGTGTGTGTGTTTTTCCCCTCCTGAATCTTGTTGGATCGGCCCATCCCGTCGACGCAGATGGCCTGCCCGGGCGGTCGGCCCTCCCAGGGGCTTGCCAGGGGTCGAGCCCTCGGTCCCCCCGTGGCCCTCGCGCATGTCGCACGTGTGTTCCCTCGGTGGTACGTGCATCCATAGCCTCAGCAGCACCAGCAGCATTCGTCTAGAGGACCGAGAAGCCCAAGATCGGGCTGCTACTCGAGCTATGGCCGACAAACTGCTCGCATTCTGCAACTCTTGGGGTGAATGTTCGGCTTGTCGACTCGATCTCGAGATCCAGAGCAGCCACAGAGCCAGCTTGATGACCTCTGGGGCGGCCCCGTGCGTCTTCAGCCTGCCGACGAGCGCCTCCTTCGGGACAGGCTGCAGGTCGACGCTAGAGGAGCGCCTTCCACTACTCGAAAAATCACCACTCGCAAATGGCTTGGATCCGCCGCGAGGAATATTACATCAAAGCAGACATGTGATTTTTCGGACGTTTGCAAAGTTTGCAAGTAAGCACTTTGCGAGTAGTGGAACGCGCTCGGGGAGACGCACCTGCGGGTCAGGAAAGGCCTGGTGTTAAGTCGGGCCTGTCCCCCTACAGGGGGATCCGGGACGGAAAGAAAAATGCTCAAAAAGTGCTCAAAAAGGATGACCCAAAATACTCCAAAAAATATCCCCAGACTGACTTTTTGGACTATATTTGAATATTTCATGGTGCGACCGGGAATTTTGACTATTTTTGACTATTTTTGAATTGCTGATTAATTTTTGACTATTCCTTGCTTTTTGGCTATTCTTTGTGTTTTGACTATTTTTGATTTTTTTAAATTGTTTTTGCATTGTATAGGAACAGGCCCGACTTCAGCCCGGTGCGGCCCCTCGTGGCGGAGGAGCCGCCACGCCGGCCCGGGCCTCGGCCTCGGGCGGGGGCCTCGGCGGGGCCAGCCCCCGTGGGGCGACCCGCTGCGCCCCCGCCCAGCAAACATATCGCGCGCCGCCTCTGCCAAGGGCACCGCTCGCCCGCGCAGGGGGCAGGCAGAGCGTCAGGGTGCGGACTAGGTTGGGATGCAGCAGTGGCCCAGTCGTCAGCCCTCCAGGCAGCTCTCTTCAGCATGGCCATGGACGAAAGCAGTGCCTGGGATGGGACGCAAGCGTGGGGCTCTATCTATTTAGACATCAAGAAGTTCTACGATTCAATCAGCATCCCGATTTTGATAGATCGCGCGTTGAAGCTTGATTTTCCTCCCGTGGAGCTTTACCTCAATTGTTTGGTGTACCTTGCTCCGAGAGCGATCAGAGCAGGAGGTGCTTTTGCTCCACCGATAATTCCTGGGAACAGTATCGTACCAGGGTGCAACAACGCAAATAATGGTGCAAGGGCATTTTTATACGAAGTTTTGGAACGAGCTCACAATCAGGTACCCCGAGCGCTTCCCAGACAGTACGTGGATGATGTCACGGCGAGGTCTGATGGCTCGTATAAGCAGATCAAGCATGAGTTGACCACTGTTGCGGTCGAGTTGGTCAAAGGATGCATTGAGAGCAAGTTGGAGATGTCGGACAAGTCGGCAGTCATGGCGTCCCACCCAAGTATTGAAAAAGCAGTCTCGCAAGCAGTTCGGCAGCTAGGAGCAACAGTCAAAGGAGTATCGTACGTACGTGACCTCGGAATCGACATGGCAAGGGGACGCAAGAGGCGCACCACGACGGCTACGGAGAGACGCAAAGCGGCCAGAGCACGAATACGCCGAGCCAAGGTCTTCAAAGGGGCAGGCAAGCGTAGACGGAAGCTGGCCACGCTCAACTTAGTCAACGTCCGTGCTAAGTCATCATACGACGTCCCTGCTGTGGGCCAGCCTCCAACAGCGGTGCGACGAGCAAGAGCAGAAGCAGCAGACATGCTAGGGTACACGACAGGCGGCAGGAGTACATCCATGGTTATGTTGCTGCACTACTTCGAGAGGGACCCAAAAGCTGTTGGGCTCCGCCGCCAAGTAGCAGAATGGATTAAGCTTTGGAAGCGGTGGCCAGAATACCATGACAAACTACGAGGAGGTTGGCATGCTGCAGTACAGCGACTCCAGCGGGCACGACCCAGAGGACGTTGGAATGTGGTGACAGGACCGATGGCGGCTCTCATCCAGGGACTTTCTGAACTAGGATGGCAGCTACCTGAGCCAGACACGTGGACGGATGCGCAAGAAAATGAATGGACAATGGCCCAACAACCATACCAGCACAAGATGCAGGCAAGCGGGGAGTGGCCACCTTCAGACGTTCAGCATCCAGACGGCACTCTCGGAGATGAAGACACCACCCAACTCATGGCGACCATCACGGCGGACGTCATCAAAGAGCTGTGGCAGCAGGCGGCCAGAGATCGTCACGGAGGAGGCTGGAGTTCTACGCCAGACCTCACGACAGCAAGCAGAACCTTGCAGAGAATGAGACGTACAGAGGCACATCGTGAAGCTGGTGCGCTAGAAGCAGTTATTTGCAATACCATTTGGACCGAAGATCGTTGCCGTACTGAAGGCTACGAGTGTGATGGAGTCTGTACCAGGTGCGCGACAGGCCAGAAAGAGACGATGGCCCATCGCGTCTGGAGCTGCCCTCATACGTGCGGTCAGGACCACCCTTGGATCCGTCAGAGTGCCAAACTATGTGACGAAGCAGTCCGAGATATTACGAA